GTCATGTTAAACAATCCTGTTTCTAATTCAAATTTTTAAAAGTTGAAAAAAATAGATCATAAAGTGAGAGAATCCACAGATTCAGAAAGAAAAGCCACCTGTGTTATTTGTTTCCAAACTTGCTAAAACCTTCTCTAAGGATTTTGTTTGTTCTCAGTCTTGGGTTTGAGTATTTATTATACTGGCCTCAAGGCTGGGGCTCCACTCATCTTACCTTCAAGGTGGCATAACCCACTTTGGAGAAAGCTGTCATGGGAAGCAGTAGCGGCATAAAGGACTCACTTCAGGTACACTGGTTCTTAGATGATGCATTTCTCCTGAAATATGCCAGAATTAGCATGCACAGTGAGCATCATGTCCAGGGCATGGATGCTTCTAAGACTCTCATGTTTCTGAGAGAAATGAACCAAAGCCTTCTTGTTCTTGTAGTGGTCACTATGTGTTCCCATTATCCGTAAGAGACACAGAGCATAGAAATAGCCCAGCATTTTAGAATCAAAGTAAAAAGGAATTAAGTTTGGAAACAATTTCTGCCACCAAACAGGACATTTAGATATATGAAGATGTGTTTCTGTGTCCCTTGGGTACCATGTTGGAGGCTAGTTGTCTTCTCTTGTCCTGGCCAGCCCTTGAGGACCTGTCTTAGATCTCACCATGGGGTTGCTTTCTTTGTTTTTCCTGAGCAGTTTAAGTTCTGGTCATGGGACCCGGAAGAGGAACGTAGGCGACAGGAAAAATGGCAGCAGGAGCAAGAGCGTCTGCTCCAGGTAGGACCAGCCTGCTAATTTCCCTGTGTTCAGTGACTGTGCACTCATTCTGTCCGTTGCATTGGATATATTTTTAGCACAGAGAACATGGAATCCAGTTCTCAGAAACTCGTGAGACTGTCGATGCTTTGTGTCCAGGCAGCAGAGTCTTGGCCCTGATTGTTCCTGCTAACAGGTCCAGTGACAAAAAGCAGTGGGGAAAAACATTCACATTAATACTTTAAAAAATACATCTCTAAGCAGTGATTTTAGTCTACCTGTATTCCTTACCTCCTTAGCCACTGATTCCTAGTTCAAGAAGCAATGAGAATGAATTACCCAAATGCTATTTTATAATGTTCAGGTAGAATGAAATTTGGTATCAGTCTAATTCTTCAACAGAGTTTTCACTCCATTTTTTTTCCACTGAAAGTGATAATGGTCAATTCTAGAAATATTCTGAGAAGAAATGTAGCCTACTTCCATTTGCCTCATGTCCAAAATGACCTTCAAGACTGACCTATTTGTATACTTGGGATGTGTTGGGAACACATATGAGTAGCCTGTGTGTAGTTGAAGAGGTGAAGGTTCACAGAGGTTGGATTAGCCCCCTGATATCACATGGCTGATAGGTGCAGGGCCTGGACCCAAATCTAAGTCTCTACAACTCTAAAATGTCTGCTGTTTCCACTCCACACCAAACACTTACATAGAGAAATAGTATAAACCTCATTAAATTTGAAGGCTCCCTGCTACTCTAGAACTGAGGTGCAATGTGATTTATTCTACTTTCCCTTCATATTTTGTCCCATCCTTTGCCCTGGTTCCCATAAATAAGGGAATGGTTTCTGTGGTAAAAATCAACATTTTGATTTAGCTAGGCAGTTCTGCTTGGTACCTTTGAAAACTTTTAAGGACTAGGCCTTGATTACTTAGATGATTACCTAAGAACCTCTGAATTCCCACTCTTTACAGTATTCTGGGGTGAGGGGTCGTTTGTTTCGTTTTGGGAATTGACTTCGGTTTGTTTGTTTGTTTGTTTGTTTGTTTGAGACTCACTAGGTAACCCTGCCTGGTCTGGAATTTACAGACACCCTGTTGTCTCTCTCCTGAGGGCTGGGATTCAGGCATGCACCACTGTACCCAGCTTCTGCAATATTTGGTTCTGATAATAAGTTTTTACTTGTATCTACAGCTCCTGCCATGGTTTGGCCAGCTGTGCTGTACTAGAAATAGCAAGAGCAATTACAGATGTCCCCATGAAAGCCTCTTGCACCTGAGTCATTATGTAACAGCTGCTGTCTGGGGACACCTCAGTGCCTTCTTCCTCCAGAGAGACACACAGACAGTCCTGTCCTAGCCCCAGACAACTGACAGTAACCAGTCAAGTGTTGGAACATGTGTTCGCAAGCCCTTGTCTCCTTTGTTTGCCCATGAGAACACCATTTTTGAGGTTTTCATGAGATTGAGTCTCATTTCAAATATTGATCTTAATCTTCACATACTTTTTTTTTCTGGTCAGCTGTCAGGGACTCACTGCATATTTTTATGCCATTATTATTCCGAGTGTTTTATTTTCTCTCAGAAGGGGTGACCAGTATTATACTACTTCTGAACACAAGTTCTCACAGCAAGCATTGTAAATGAGCTGTTTAAAAGTTCTATTGATTAAAGATACTGTGAGCTGGGCCTGGAAGACCTCATCTCATTGCCATGATGATAAGCAGAGTGTTTGTGCCTCTCAGAAGATGGTTGTCTTGAGCACTTTGGACTTTTCTGCCCTGTCTCGCTTATAAACTTAGCAGGTTTTTTTATAATCTTTTATTAAACTTCCTTGGCAACAGTGTTGGTTAGTTCTGGCTTTGGTTGGTTGGTTAGTTTTTTCAGGGATGGGGGTCAAACCCAGACCATTGCACAAGCTACATTACCAGCCCAGCAATGTATTTCTATTAGTGAAATAGCAAACTCACCTCTGAAAGGCTCAGTTGAAGCAAACTCTGTATGTAGCCTACATAGGACCTGCCCAGCTGAGGGAGATTGTTGATTTTTTTCATCTTTCCTGAACAAATGTCCATCTGAAGAGACATTCTATGAAACACAACAACAGAAATCTGGCTTCCTATGGGATTTTAAATGTCTAAGTTACTTTTCTGTTTCTGTGATTAAAAAAAAAAAACCCTGATTAAAAGCAACTAGGAAAGAAAGATCTATTTTGGCTTACCATTCCAGAGGGCTACAGTCCATCATGGTGGGGAAGGCATAGTGGCAGGACCTAGAGGCCAGCCTGGCAGTCAAGAAGCCAGGTAGTCACATTTCATTCACACACAGGAAGCAGGGAGAGAAGAGGAAGGAAGTTTGGGCTATAAAACCTTATAGTCCAGCCCCAGTGACATACTTCCTCTAGCAAAGCTCCACATCCTAAATGTTCCAGAACCTTCCCAAACAGTACTACTAACTAGATCCAAACATATAAATACATGAGCCAATGGGGGACACTACTCATTCAAACCACATGTACCTAACTTGTATGCATAATACCCAGCAT